GAGCTCTGGTGTTTCTGATCAGCAGAGTGTGGGTTCGAGTCCTGGTCGTGACACTTGTGTCCTTAAGCAAGACACTTAACCATTATTGCTTCGTCCTTCGGAAGGGACGTAAAGCCATAGGTCCCGTGTGTTGTGTAATGCACGCTTATCTCTAAGATAAGGGATTTGCCCCGGTGTTTCTGGCAGTGTGTTTATCTTCAGCCATTTTTAGGCTCCTCTTACAAGTAAGAAAACGAAGAATGGTCCTTCATAATCGTCCATTATAACTCTCCCTTTGTCACCATTAAGGGGGTATATGAAGTTCATACATATATAAATTCCAGACAAATGACTTATTTAGCTTGATCACATCACAATTTACAAAAGAGAAAAGAAAGCTTTTGAATGTCATTTGGGGAAAATTTTCAAAATGAAAACATGCTACATGGGAAAACAAAACACTTCAAATATTTTTGACGCTCGCCAAAGTTGCAGTTAACACCGTGAAGCTATAAAGCTCACTGTAGTATCTTTCTGTATTGCTGCACCGATGTGGTAGTATTATCACGCAAACCTTTGTGAACAATCTGAACAGCAACTTCTGAGATTTGAATTTGGGGTTGGGTTTTCTTTTCTATCGGGTACCCGGTTCTCGTAGTACCTGTAAATTGACACCCCTAATGACAACTTGGTTCAAAGCAGTGACTAGCACAACGCGACGTGCATCAGTGGCCAAACAGCCAACCCACTGCGTGCCAGTCCCCAGTCATGCGTCAGGACAAACTTCCACAAAAACAACCCTGAGAACTCAAACCTGAAACAGAAAACTCTCCATGTTTTTACCTTCAAAATCACTGCACTTTCTGAATCATTGGAGCTTTACTGCAGACAGGAGGGTGAAAGAAAAATACTTAATAGTTTTATTATTTGGCAGAACAACAATAAAGTGGGGGATGTTGGTGCACTCAGCTGTGACTGCACGAACATCACCCGTAGGATGTTTACCAATTTTTTCCCCCATACTTTACATTTTTGTTGGTTTCCCGTGGGACATTTCATGTCAGCGGTGATATTCATTATGTTCTTTACAACCAGGCCGAGGTGACTGTTGGAGAGATTAAAGGGAATGTACATCATTGGGTTTTGCTGTAATTTTCAGAAATGAATTATTTGAGGGGTTTAATGTAATAGATCAAATGTTGTTAAACCGACATGTTTGTAGTTTTGTGTTCGAAAATGCTGGAAAAATCAAGAAAAACAAAAATGTTCAAGTAGTCTGGTTCCCTGACTCCACTAAAGATGAAATGTATCAATTTATAGATGCCGGAAAATTGTAAGGTGAGGGAACCAGTCTAGTTGGCCTGCACCCGTTCATGAACATGTAACCAATAGCAAACAAAATTTGGTCTGAAAAAGTGGTAAATTTGGCGTAGTAGTTAAAAAATAGTTAGGTTTTTCCAAAGGTGGTCGGCCGACCACCGTTGGAAATGTATACAAAAATACCACTTTTCTTGAAAATGACTTCACACCAGGTGCCATAATTTTACAGGATGCTTTACACTGTCATTTACTAACATCCTAGTAAGGTATTTCGTAAAAACTTGGAGGTTACATTTTTCGATGTTTGCAAATGTTGTATATTCCCTTTAAAGATGCGTGCCTCGTGCTCTCCTAAAAACAGGCATGCAACTGGGGATTTTGAAAATCGAGGAAATTCCAAACCTCATAAGACTCTGTACAGTACCGGTCTTTTTCAATTTGTTATGGCATTCATGAGTAGTGAAAAATGAGGAAATCAGCAGATCCGAGGAAAAGATGCACGCCTGAAAAAAAAAGAACATTTTTCTCCTCACAACGTTTCAATTTGTATGTTTTGTTTTAACAATTTTTTTCCCGGTACCTAGCATCTATGGCCCTCTGAAAATGGGCTTCCATTACAGCGCACAAATGACCCCGCTCTGCGAGAGCCGAATTATTGTTGAGCCACAAATGAGTTGAATGTTGTAAAGAAATGGTCAATTGCATAACTAAACGTCAGTAGATTGTGTTCTGTTATATGTCTCATTCGAACCCGAAATAGCGCCGGGAATGCATGTTTAATGCTTTGCAGCAGTGTTTATTAGTAGCGGATGTAAGGGGGTGATTGGGTCGCAAGGTTCCAGTGGTGTATCCGGGGGGGGGGGGGGACTTTTTTTTAATAACTATTTCCATAAAATGGTATAGAGAGGTCTTACACAAACGACCAATAACGAATTTCCATTTTTAATAACTATTTCCATAAAATGGAATACAGAGGTCTGACATGAAAGACAAATAAAGAAACCAAAGTAAAAAAAAAACATTACAATGAGTCAAAACGTCAGCAACAGAAAATGTTAGCCCGTAGATTTTGCACCCCACCCCCACGTCAAATGCTGAATAAGCCGCCGACTTAGACTTTTACTTTTGCCCCCCACCCCCCGACATCAAAAGCTGGATACAACTGGATAAAAAACATTACAATGCGTCAAAACGTCAGCAAAAGAAAATGTCAGCACGTAGATTTTGCCCCTCCCCCCCATGTCAAATGCTGAAAAAGCCTGACTTAGACTTAATTTTGCCGCCCACCCCCCGACATCAAAAGCTGGATACAACTGGATACCGCTGGTCGCAACACCCCCCCCCCCCCCCCCCGCCCTTTACTATCAACCCCCTCTTTCGTTTCCTAACAGCCAGATATACCCCTATTTATTGTGCAGTGATCGCGCACTGTCATTTGCATATGCAAGAATTGTAGGTGGCGCCGTGCGACGTACTCACGAAAGTCAGTGTCGGGAACATGGCTTACAAATAGTTTTCGTAAAATAAGAAAAAAAGTCAAGAAAAACTGTACAAAATTGGATGTTGAGGTCACGTGTTGGCAACTTTCAACAAAGTGTTCTCTCCCTTTACAGTGCTATGTCTCTTGAAATACGGGTGATTTAAAAACTGACATTTTAACTATATAAAACTGTTCAACATTGTCACGCGACTATAGAGTTGTGTACGTGTACATTGTGCATGTAAATAGGCTGTATAAAACTTCGGTTTGCCTACTGTGCTGTTTATTTCAAAAATCATTTCCTGGTTTTGGGAATGAACAAACTTGCTTTACTTCGATAAAAATAAAAGAGAATTTGCTTTGAAATAATCAAAATTACGATTTAACAGTTTTCAGAGGTTTTTTTGGGGGGGGGGGGCATTGCCAAAATACCGGACAGTGTGTGTGAAATACTAGTATTCACTCACCCTTGACCTCCGTTTGTTATTGCTATTTCCCCTCCCACGTGTTACTGTGATACATCACAGCCCACAATCCCCGCCCCCTTTTTTTGTCCGAACCGCCACCATGCCAAGTTTGTTTTTCCCCGTTTTGTACTCTAAAACCCCTTCACACAATAGTCGCAAATTCCTTTATGCAACACCGGTCACACTTCCTTTTGAATTTTTTTTTGGAACAAAACTTAACAAAAAAAATACAGTAGTCGAGGAATGTGTTTTTACTTTTTCCCCTACCTCGAAAATATAATTGAAGTTTCTAAAAAAAATTTTTTTTTACATTCCATTCTAATTTCGCAATTGAAATCTCTATTCACGCATTTCAACCAAACATGATAGTGGTTTGTTTATTGAAGCCATCTGTTTATTATAATTTGTGTTTTGGTGTTTTTTATTTTATGGCTGCATGTTGTTTGTGTTTGTGTACGTGTTCATCTTTTCGAACCGTGGACGAAAAATACCAGAGAACAAAAGAGAACAATATCGTCCACGATTCCCAGCATATGTCCGTGATTGGGATCTTGTACAAAACCTACGGGAATCTTCCTGAAAAGTTAAGAGTATAAACAAAAGAGGGACAATAGGACATCCACGATCGACGGTGAGAACACGTGTTCTACGTGTTCTACATAACCCCCGAGAACCGACTCACAAAGGGAGAACAACAGATCCTTTCAGTCCTCGGGAGTTGGGTCATTGTTTGAAACAGTCCTCTGTAGTAAGTTTGTGTGCTTAGTCTATGGGAGAGTGTTATATTACAGGGACAAAGGAAAACACAAAGCATTGTCCTCGAGAGTATAGTAAAGCAAGAGCTAGTGTCCTAGTCTGTGTCTCGCATCCTTTCGTCAGTCTGTTTGTTTCTTTATATGCAGCGTAAGGTAGGGACGGTTGCTGACTGTAGCTGAGTTTGCATTGATGGTCAGATTTTGTAACAAGCAATCTGATTGGACAAAAATTGTGTCACTCCGTATAGTTTGGAAGTGTCATGAATAATCAATCGGGCAAGGTCAAAATAGTAAATATGTGACCTGTCATTACAAAATGACCTTAAAGTCAGACTTTTTCAGAATTGGCATATTTTTCTGGATTCTGCAGAACAAAAGCGTTCCAATGGTATGCAACATGCAGGGGTGCTAAGTTCAGTAACGGAAATATAGACCACCGACTTTAAGTTGTGAAACTGAATCTTGAGAAAGTGGTATTTCAAAATCTCGCAGTTGTGTTAGTGAATTGAACAGTCAACTAATAAAAAGAGAATGAAAAAAGGTTGTAAAGCTATTCGATGGAACAAAACATTTGGAGAAAGTTAAAAAGGGACGTAGAGATTAACGCTTACCTGAAAACAAAAAATCGACTACCCCTTCAAATGTTGGCTTTTCCCCACTGTCATGACTGTACTACAAAATGGCAATTTCTGATGTTGAGCTCATTTCGTGGTGACATGTCACATATGCAGACCCTGGCATATTTGCTTATGGTGTAAATCAAGGATTTTCTTTTGTTCCTATTCCCTTTTCCTTCGTTTGTACTTTAACTTAATCGAGGACTTTAACTTGTCCTCGATTTGGTTCCTGTCCCCGATTCACCCATGATGTTGCACATGCGTGTCCTCAATTTACTCCATAAACAAAGGAAGTCTGCCAGGGTAATGTTTGAAAAGAGTAAGCTCCTCTAATTTTTTTTTTAGTTCAAACTGAAGATTTTCTGTTCTCTTCTCTGTGTAGAAAGAGAAGTACCACACCCATCTGGCCGTCCTGTACCTGGACAGCGTCTTGAAGAAAGATGCCGGAACCCCCAAGACCGAGATGGACCTAGCCCGGTCCAAGCTGCGGCACATGTTGGAGGAGTCCTCCCTCTACCGAGTCCAGCTCATCCTGGGGAAGGTCCGAGAAACGGAGATGTTTGCCGAGACCGCAATCCTCTATGGAAAGGTAAGCGTGGGTCACAGGAGCCACAGGAGACTAATTGCACAGTAAACAAGCGTTATACTGGTTACATGTACTTTGTAGTACAAATTGATATTGTTTGTGACTGAGAGTAGGTAGTTTTGGTATGAGAGTAGATACTTTTGCTAAGCACTGTTTTCTTTTGAGCAACTTGTGATTGCCTTGTGATGACTGATTGACTTTGGAGGCCTCGTTTTCGACTTGTGATGACTTGTGATGGACTTGTGATTGACTTGTGATGACTGATTGACTTATGAGGGCTGGTTTTTGACTTACGATGGCTTGTGATGGACTTGTGCTTGGATTATGATGGACTTGTGATGACTTGTATGACTTGCGATGACTTTTGATGAACTTGTTTAAATGACTTTGATGACTTGTGATTGACTTGTGATTGACTTGTGATGACTTTGATGACTTGTGATTATAATATAGTTGATTTGTGATGACATGTGATGTACTTCTGATGACTTGTGGTGACTTGTGATTGACTTGTGATGATTTTGATGACTTGTGATTATTATATGACTGATTGACTTGTGACGACTTACATGTATGAGGACTTGTTATTGACTTATGATAACTTGTGTGATGGACTTGTGCTTGACTTATAATGGACTTGTGATGACTTTTGATGAACTTGTGATTAAAATGTGGTTGACTTGTAATGACTTGTGATGACTTGTGATTATAATATAGTTGATTTGTGATGACATGTGATGTACTTGTGATGACTTGTGATGACTTGGGATGACTTGTGATGACTTGAGGGCCATTCCGTAGAATCCAATTCTCTGTGTACGTCCGACCACGTGATGTACAAGGTCGTTAAGGTGGAGGTACCTTAGTTTGGTCTGCAATTGTTTTCTACTCATTAGATGTCACATTATCAGTGATGTATCACATTTCACTTTTCCAACAGCAGCTCATTAAAGTGTCTGACATGTACATCCAAATTTTTTGGAATTGTCCTTGATTACAATTCTTGCTTGTGTCTGATGACAATTTTTTTCCCCCGGAATTGTTAAGTAGGGGGTAATATAAAAAAAAGATTCAATCTTCCGAAAAGGTATAGAATTGACTGAATATACATGTATGTATTTCATTTAAAATCTGCCCAGCCATACTTTTTGTGTGTGCCAATAATCACAGCATTTGTGTAGGTCGATTTTTCCTAATTCACTTTGGACAAAGACAGTCCCCCCCCCTCCCCCCCCCCCCCCTTCAATAAATTAACTCCATAAGCAGGTCTCATTATCGCTTGCACAAGTCTCGTAAAAGAGTGACCTCCACACTAATTTGGAGGAAGTAACAATTCATAAAAAAAAAAATGCCAGAGTCGTTTTCGATTTGGGCTGACAAAGGGAGTAAAATACCCTGACATGCTACAGTGCACACAGGCACTGGCATTGAGGTCTGCTGTCTGGGATGACAGGTGCAATTTCACAGTAGTTGTGTAGTCTGTGGAGGGACAAACAGCGCCCTCTGTTGTCATGATTGTTGAATAAAATACTGATTTTTTTTGTTTATTTTTTAATGCAAGCAATTGGTGGTTGTTGTTTTTTTGTTACCCAAAAGGAACTGGTTAAGGAAAAACAATTGGCATCTTTTATTTTCACGACTACAAAACTCGAAACATTAATGGCCTTTTTCTCAGTACTTGTGTCGATAAAAGCAAATTTTAAATTTTAAATACCCACAACTTGTCAACAGAATGTCCGATTGAAGTGCAATAAACAGTAATGTGTGGCAAATTTCATTCTCTTTCCTAAAACTTGCAAACCCTCTTTTCGATCTCTGCCCAGTTCTGTCTCATTTGCCAAAACGCCTCACATTTGTCCAACAAAAACTAATGAGCTCACCCACTCTTGAATTACTATACTCCCGAGGACAATGCTTTGTGTTTCCCTTTGTCCCTTTAACCCTAACCCTGCCAGACGCATCACAGTGCATCAGGTGGAAAAGTCTGGTGCACTTTGATTGAAAATGCTACCAACACCAGTGCATAAACGACCACTTCTGAGACACTGATAGCTAGCCCCATAGAACAATGCCACAGTTGTATCCTGCTGCATTGAGTGACCACAGACTCTGAGGCAGTTTGGTCTTGAGGCTTTTTACCTGATGGATCTTGCTACACTGGGCAGGCTTGTCACTTAGTCAAGTGTTGCATGCTGCTGTGTTTGGCAGGGTTTCTAGCCAATATACCCTGGAGGGTTAGGGTTAATGTAACACTCTTCCATAGACTAAGCACACTAACCTACTACAGAGGACTGTGTTGAACAAAAGACCCAACTCCCGAGGACTGAAAGGATCTGTTGTTCTCCCTTTATGTGTCTGTCCTCCGGGGTTATGTAGTACACGTACAAACATACATGAATGTTGCACTGTAAGTGCTTTTTAGCCAGTGTAGAAATTGACACTCTGTATTTGACAGCTCTATAAAATAGATTATACTCTATTCATTTTGTACCAAGCACTTGTTTTTTTGGTCTTACTCAAGTCTCTGTGGTAATGGACTGAAAGTATTTTATTCGTCTATCTTTTTTTGTAATGTCACAGCTTGAAGAACACGACAAAGCCTTGCGAATCTTGGTCTACAGGCTGCGAGACTACGGCGCCGCTGAGCGCTACTGCCGCATCAACTCCAAGGGTAGGGACAGGGCCTACCGACGGAGACTGTTCCAGATCCTACTGGGCGTGTACTTGGACCCACTGGAGGGGTGAGTGCTTCTCTCGAAAAAGAAAAATTGAAAGGAGGGGGATTCGAACCTGTGACTTCTCAGTGCAATATTAACAATCCTGGCCAAATCTCGCTGGGCCCCTGACCCCCGGCCCCCGCTCAATGTTGTCTCTCATTGCGCGGTGTGTGCTCCATCAGCTGGAGAGAACAACATTGACCGGGGGAGTGGGCGACGGTGGGAGGCTTAGGTTATTTTCAAGTGTTCCAAGTATTTTGGCCGGGATTGTAGCTATCCAGTGCCGAAGAATGCCCACACAAGTACTACGTGTCAAAAAAAAACATGTCCTACTTTTGATCCTTAATAACTCTGTTGTTTATCAATGAAATTGAACCAAAATTTCAGACCATGTAAACAAGGCATGACAAATTTTATGGAGCGAGTTTCATCAGCTTTGTTCAAGAGGGTGAGATTTAAACGCCATACGAAAAAATGATACTCACTTCCAGAATCTACCACTTTCGCCTTGGCGCCCTCTAATGTCGATACAGCGCTGGGGCAGTGGTGGAAGGTGCGTGCTGGCCGAAAGCTTCTGACTGAATGCAGGATCACCCCTGATGTCATTGCACACCTCGATTGTTTGACGCAACACACGATCGAGGAGGTGTGCAATGACATCAGGGGTGATCCTGCATTCCTTCGGAAGCTTTCGGCCGCAGCACAAACCATCCGCGACCGTCTCTAGCGCTGTATCGACATTCTGAAAGTCAGTATTTTTTTCTATACGTCGTTTAAATCTCACCCTCTTGCATGTCTTGCACAAAAGTGATGAAACAAGCTCCATCGAATTTGAATGAAAGGTTTGCGGAAACACCATGTGTGAATGATTTCTCAACTAAGAGAATGGTTCTGAAAAGAACCAGAGGTATAAACTCTCAGAACCTTTTCAGAACCATTCTCTTAGTTTGAGAATTTATTCGCACATGGTGTTTCCGCAAACCTTTCATTCATTAGTGTCTCCACCATGCAAAGCCTCAAATCTTACCCATCAAATTTGTCATGCCTTGTTTACATGATCCAAAATTTGGTTTAATTCCAACGGTAAACAACAACGTTATTTAGGATCATAAATAGGACATGTTTTTTTTTTTTGACACGTAGTACCTTCATCAGCAGTGTCAAAAGTAGAGACAGACAGTAAAATACCATATGACCAAGTTAATCATTTAATAATTTCCTCTTTTATTTTCTAAAGATACTGAAAATACTACCATCGTATAACTAGTGTTCCAATTTCCCAGGGTACCATCCCCCCCCCCCCCCTCCTTAGGATGCACGAAAAACCATGGACCACATCACGTCAAGATGAAAATGTCCCTAATTGTTCCCATCCATAACAGGAAGAAGGATTCCCTGATCGCCCCGGCCATTGCCCTGCTGAACAGCGAGGATGCTGACTTTGATGCTTCTAGGGTAAGCCTTACGATGAACTTGTGATGGACGTGTGTTTGACTTGTGATGACTTGTGATGGACCTGTGATGGACTTGTGATGGACTTGATAGAGTTGTAATTGACTTCTGATGGATTTGTGCTTTGACTTGTGAGTGACTTGTGTCACTTATGATGGACTTGTGTTTGACTTGTGATGGACTTGTTACTGATTTGTGTCGGACTTGTGACTGACTTATAATGGACTTGTGACTGACTTATACTGGACTTGTGATTGACTTGTGCTGGACTTTTGACTGAGTTTTGTTAGACTTGTGATGGACTTGTGTTTGACTTGTGGCTGACTTGTGTTTGACTTGTGTCGGTCTTGTGATTGACTAATGATGGACTTGTGTTAGACTTGTGACGGACTTGTATTTGATTTGAGATTGATTTGTGATTTGACCTGTGATGAACTTAATTGTGACTGGCTTGTGATTGAATTGTGATTGACTTGTGATGGACTTGTGATGGACATACGATGGATGTTGTGATTGACTTGCCATTGACTTGTGATCGAATTACCATCAACCCCTCGGGGTACTGAAGCATTCTACAGACAGCCTTTAGACTCTTACTGAAGGCGGCCCTCAGTGACTGATGCTATTGCTGATCCCACAGGGCCAACCTAATGCCCTCTTGGTAGCTATAGATCCCACCGACTGATTTAATGACCGACTGTCATTTGCGAGCTGGGCAGTGCTGTTGTATAGGATTACCCTGCAACACCAACAAATGGGCTAAATCTGGCACCTAGGTGTAGACCAGATGCACGAAAAGACTTGCATTGAGCAAGCCGTCGTGTTTTACTATACTCTATAGGACAATGCTTTGTGTTTCCCCTTGTCCCTGTAATATTACATTCTGCCATAGACTAAGCACATAACCGCACGATAGAGGACCGTCTTCAACAAAAGACGCAATTCCTGAGGACTGCAAGGATCTGTTCTTCCTTTGTGTGTCGGTCCTCGGGGTTATGTTAAACACGTACACTTTATGCTAAATCAATTGAATGGAATTATTTAACACTCTGGGCCCAGATTTAATAAACTCGCCTCTCCGTCCACTTACAGGTGTTGCAGCTGATCCCCGAGAACTGGTCCACTGCGCTCCTGTCCCAGTTCCTGACCAACACGGTCCGTCAGAGCCTCCACACGGCCCGCATCACCAAGCTGCAGCGCATGCTGGCCCGCACCGAGAACCTGAACCTCAAGTCGGCCCAGATCGCCCAGCAGCGGGACCCCATCTACGTCGGGGAGGAGCGCTCCTGCCAGGTCTGCAACCGGCCCTTCCTGGAGCCGTCGTTCGTCCGGTACCCGAACGGCGTGGTGGTCCACACGCAGTGCGCCTGGAACAAGGCCGTGTGCCCCGTGACGGGGCGACTGTTCAGTACGAGAGTCGGGGCTACGAAGAGATAGACCTTGGGACGATTTCAATTTGCTGACTATGGAAAATATGTTGCTTATTAGCAAAAACAGGGCTCTGCTAACCACAGTATTCCGCGCTTATGATCAGCATTCTGTGCTTACAACACCAGCAGAAAAACTCTGCGCTAACCCAGTAAGCACAGAATCCTCAGTTACGGGATGTACACGTGCACAAAAGTCAAAATTCCTTGCTAACCCACAAAAATGCACGGCATTTTAAAGGTACAGTCCATCATTTGTAACTTGTGCATTATGTTCATTTGAAGCAACCAAAGTGCCTAAAAAGGGTTCTTAAAAACTAACTTGACAAAGTTTGAGCTCAGTGAATGCTGTATATTCCCGAGAAAAGTGATATTCTAGGATCTCAATTTCAAATCAGATGTTGCAGAGTTATGTTTTGAGTTGCGCACAAATTCAGCGTTCTCATTCAGCTGATTTGCAGCTACGTGATGTCGCGCACTGAACCGACGAATTATAGCATCCGCGTGCGTGCTTCATGTCAAGGCTTGCGCTCACTTTGCCGAATTAAAAATGGACTAGTAATGGAAATTTCCAAAGATGCGTCTTGAGACACACCGTTGGAAATGGCCTTCTTTCATTATTTTCTTCAAAATGACAGCTTGCCAGAAAGAATAATTTCACAGGGAGTTTAGTCCCATTTCTATCTTTCAACCAAGTATGCTTTTCAATAATAATTTCGTCAGTAACTTTTTGGATAGCTGGAGATGATGGACTGTAGCTTTAAGCTGCAGTTAGCAGGAATTTTTAGCTTACAGTATAAAGCAGAGTCATGAATTTGGGCCCAGGGTGACAAGGCAGGGAGTCATGCAGTGTGTATACTGTTTTTTTGCTTGGCACACAGATTTTGCTGAACAGTGTTTTCTGCTGAGCAAAATGGGTTACCAGCTAAACTGCCATGCAATGTGCTTTTGACTGGTACTCGGCTGATCGGTTTTTTTTTTTTTTCTCCTTAGGCCGAGAACTGCTTAACAAAAACAATTTCCGCTCAACATCAACATGAAATCGGGTCGTGGGAGACCATGGAAAGGATTGGTTCATTTCTCACGCAGAAGCGAAGTAAACTTTATCGTAGAGCAAGCTTGAATCCTTGTTTCCTGATTGGTCGATCCATGACAACAGCAGTGTGATGTTATCCCATATAGCACCGTGCACGCCGCACTGTTGTAAGATGGGCGCGCCATTCTTGCTGCATGCAGGTGTAGTAGGATAACTGCTAAAATGTTCTGAAAGCATGCACATTCCATCTTGACTGTACATGAAGTTTGATAAATTTGTTATCCCACTCGCGCTTGTGGAACTGTAGTGCATTAGTGTCCAATATGTTCAGCCTCGTGGCATATAGGACACATATGCACTGTGTGGACTTCCAGACAAAAGAGGTCCACATAAACCAGGTAGCAGCGACGTTGTGTGGACTTGCCCACGTCCACACAGTGTTTCCCCCTCTCTGGAAAACAGGTTTAGAGGCATTTTAGGGTTAGGTTTATCCGTGGCAAAATGAAGAGAAACACTACAGGGAATCATAGGGTTGAAAGAGTTTTCACAGTTTGAGAAAATTGAGTTTTTGTCACAGGTTTTTCTTAACTTTACACAACAAAGGAATGTCCACACAATATGTAACGTAAACATGCATGAGTCAATGGCAGTAAGCTACCCAGAATGCTCTGTGTTTCCTTCACATTATGAGCGGTCCCCTTTCACCAGCGCTCCTGATAGTGCGCTGCTTACAAGCGGATTTCAAGGCACACTTCAAAAGCTGACTCCTTGTGCACCAACAAACGAGGGCGCTATTTTATCCTGCATTGAAGGTCACTGACGATTTTACCAGATCAGAGAATGTTATTAAAAGAATCTGATTTTTTTGGCCAAATCAGAGAATTACGTGTACATTTATCTCTTTGTTATTTTTGCTTTTTTTAATTTTAATTTAAAGAAATCAAATGATGTTCTATGAAATCTTGGTTGACTGTAAATGAATAAATTTACAATTGTCAGTATGTCATTGGGAATGTATATTATTGGTACTGTCACAATTGAGCTATACATTATATTGGCGTGAAGTCACGGCCACTTCAGACAACGGTGTTCTAGTGAATTGATTCCGAGTCTAAAGCCGCTCGGGTTGAGGCCAAGTCTGAGTTTCGAGTCATTTGTTGAAGTCCAAGTTCGAGTGCATGTCACATTTGTACGAAATTGATGAGCACAGATATGGACGTGAACAGACGAAAGCTGTTTGTAAGTGATGGGCTGTCGCAGGAAATAAACAGGGGCGCATTTGAATAGCCAACATTATTATTTGCAGCACCACCCGCGGTACGGTTCGTCATTTACACATTTTTTAGCGTTGCTTTGACGTTACTTTTGCAAAACAAGCGTTGGTCTTTAAAAGGTGTTTTTGGTTAAAAAATAGATTATGTGACTCGGTTTCAGTTTTGCCCCAAAATGAGCTCACCTGGAACTTGCAGGGAAGATGCCTACAGGACTCTAGAACACATTCCAACTCCATTTTAGGACAGATAAACCATTCAAATGAAACATTGTATCGAACATTTGGTGGGGGGGGGGTAGGAATCACTCAAAGATATGATTTTTCTTCCCGATAAAAGACAATTTGCCCACATCTTCGCAATTTTAGAAGTTTGAATACTTACCGAGGTTGCTCTTGCATCCAACGGAAATTCCGCGTTGTTTGGAAAAAAAGTCAATTTTTTGCCAAATTTTGATCAAAAAATGAAATAGCTTCAAACTTGCAGGGAAGATAGAAAAGTTTATTTGGGGCCAAATTTTGATCAAAAGTAAGGCTAACCCCTTGCAATTTTTTGGGAAGATAGATAAGTCCATTTTTGGCCAAATTTTGATCAAAGTAAGGCTAACCCCTTGCAAATTTTTGGGAAGATAGAAAAGTCCATTTTTGGCCAAATTTTGATCAAGATGTAAGGCTAACCCCTTGCATTCGCTTGAAACTTGCAGGGAAGATAGAAAAGTTCATTTGGGGCCAAATTTTGATCAAAAGTAAGGCTAACCCCTTGCGATTTTTTGGGAAGATAGAAAAGTCCATTTTTAGCCAAATTTTGATCAAAAAGTAAGGCTAACCCCTTGCAATTTTTTTGGGAAATAGGAAATTCAATTTTTAGCCAAATTTTGATCAAAAAGTAAGGCTAACCCCTTACGATTTTTCTATTTTGACCAAAAAGTTGAAATCACTTCAAACTTGCAGGGAAGAAAGAAAAGTCAATTTTTGGCCAAAATTTGATAAAAAGTAAGGCTTACCCCTTACAATTTTTCAATTTTGACAAAAAAATTGAAATCACTTGAAACTTGCAGGGAAGATAGAAAAGTCCATTTTTTGGCCAAATTTTGATCAAAAAGTAAGGCTAACCCCTTGCAATTTTTTGGGAAGATAGAAAAGTCAATTTTTAGCCAACTTTTGATCAACAAGTAAGGCTTACCCCTTACACTTCTTCAATTTTGACCAAAAATATGAAATCACTTTAAACATGCTGGGAAGAAAGAAAAGTAAGTATTTGGCCAAATTTTGATCAAAAAGTAAGGCTTACCCTTTTCAATTTTTTTAATTTTGGCCCAAAAATTAAATCGCTTGAAACTTGCAGGGAAGAGAGAAAAGTCCATTTTGGGCCAATTTTTGATCAAAAAGTAAGGCTTACCCCTTGCAATTTTTTGGGAAGATAGAAAAGTCAATGTTTTAGCCAAATTTTGATCAAAAAGTAAGGCTAACCCCTTTGTAATATTTTTGGGCAAATAGAAAAGTCCATTTTTAGCCAAATTTTGATCAAAAAGTAAGGCTTACCCCTTGCAAGCTTTTTTTTCAATTTTGGCCAAAAAATGAAATCGCTTGAAACTTGCAGGGAAGTGCAAAATTGTGATCAAAATGTAAGGCTTACCCCTTGCGATTTTTCAATTTTGGCAAAAAAAAATGAAATCGCCTAATACTTGCAGGAAAGATAGAAAAGTCCATTTTGGGCCAAATTTTGTTCAAAATGTAAGGCTAACCCCTTGGAATTTTTTGGGAAGATAGAAAAGTCCATTTTTAGCCAAATTCTGATCAAAATTTAAGGATAACCCCTTGCAATTTTTCAATTTTGACTTATAAATTAAATCACTTGAAACTTGTAGGGAAGATAGAAAAGTCAATTTTGGTTCAAATCCCGATCAAAAAGTAAGGCTAACCCCTTGCATTTTGTATCTATTTTGGCCAAAAAAAATGAAATCGCATGAAACTTGCAGGGAAGATAGAAAAGTCGATTTTGATCAAAAAGTAAGGCTAACCCCTTGCATTTTTTTCCAATGTTGGCCCACAAAATGAAATCGCTTAAAACTTGCAGGGAAGACAGAAAAGTCCATTTTGGGCCAAATTTTGATCAAAAATTAAGGCTAACCCCTTACAATTTTTCAATTTTGACCAAAAAATTGAAATCACTTGAAACTTGCAGGGAAGATAGAAAAGTAATTTTTTGGCCACATTTTGATCAAAAAGTAAGGCTAACCCCTTGCAATTTTTCAATTTTGGCCAAAAAATGAAATCGCTTGAAACTTGCAGGGAAGATAAAAAAGTTCATTTGGGGCCAAATTTTGATCAAAAGTAAGGCTAACCCCTTGCAATTCGTTGGGAAGATAGATAAGTCCATTTTGGGCCCAATTTCGATCCAAATGTAAGGCTAACCCCTTGCCATTTTTTTGGGAAATAGAAAATTCAATTTTTAGCCAAATTTTGATCAAAAAGTAAGGCTAACCCCTTATGATTTTTCTATTTTGACCAAAAAGTTGAAATCACTTCAAACTTGCAGGGAAGAAAGAAAAGTCAATTTTTGGCCAAATTTTGATCAAAAAGTAAGGCTAACCCCTTGCAATTTTTTGGGAAGATAGAAAAGTCAATTTTTAGCCAAATTTTGATCAACAAGTAAGGCTTACCCAATACACTTTTTCAATTTTGACCAAAAAAATGAAATCACTTGAAACATGCTGGGAAGAAAGAAAAGTAAGTTTTTGGCCAAATTTTGATCAAAAAGTAAGGCTTACCTTTTGCAATTTTTTTAATTTTGGCCCAAAAATGAAATCGCTTGAAACTTGCAGGGAAGAGAGAAAATTCA